GTCTGTCAGCGCTGCGGCCCCCGCGCAGTTCCATGTAGAGGAGGAGTGTGGCATCCTGTCCCCTGTGCCGTGCTTCACTGACCTGCTGCAGGACAAAGGCCCTGCCTCCCTCCGCAGGTAGGTGAGCAGTGCTGAGCCCCCTGCCACTCTCCTTGGGTCAGGGTCACTCCACAGACCCTGTCCCTGAGGGTAGTGGCTGTGCCCATCCTGAAGTTGCCTGCTGAGCCAGAGGGGACATTGGGCCCTGAGGGAGCGTGGCTGTGAACAACACGATTGCTCTTCAGTGGTCAGTCACTCCCTGTTACTCCTCCTACCTCCGTGGGTCTGTGGGATTCTCATGGTGTGGATTTGGAGGCACTGGGCTGCACACCCACAGTACTCTTCCTTTCAGCTAACTTGAGCTATTGTGCTGACCTGCAGGCTGGGAAGCCATTAGGCATTGGCTCAGAGATGGGTCCCCATTACTGACCACAAGCTGATCCCACTCTGTGATGGAGGAGAGGAGGAGTAGAAGGGGCAACCTTTAGGTTTTGGGATAGGTGACTTCGGGTTCCTTCACGGTGACTTGCTAGTCAGGGCTGAGCAGAGACCTTAGCCCCTGAGGGACTATTGCCCATCCTCATTCATCCTGTTTGCTACCATCAGTCTCTTTGGTTCCTACAGCCTCCCAGGGCCTCGGGAACGCTTGTCTCGCGGGTGGGAGAAGCGCAAGCCCTGGGGCCAGGTGGCGAGCGGACAACGGGTTACCTATGACTTGAAGGAGAGGATGTGCATTGGCAGCATGACCACGCTGGAGAGTGCCGCATATCAGCGTGTCCCCACAGATGAGGCTGAGGCCCAGATGCTGGCATCTGCTGACTTGGATGGCATGAAAAGTGAGGATTTGCAACGCTACTTACATTACAAGTGCATGTGCCCTTTGTTTCTCCCTACTTTGCCTTCTTCCCTAGTAGCTCCAGGCTTGGTCTTCAACTTGCCATAGGAGCTGTTCCTCAATTCCCCGTCCCCCAGCCTCTGTTTCTGCAGCCCTGGCTGCTGTCTGTCAGCTTTGTAACTGCCCCATGCACCTCTGCTCACACCCATCCCAGAAATGCTTGTTCCTCCACCCACCCCACTGCCCTCTCTGGTTCAGGGCTCCCTGCATTTCCCCAAGACCCAGCTCTCTCCTGTCCTGACACACTTTCCCTGCGATCAGCCCTCTGTGCGACACACTAGCTCTGGCATTGCAGAAAACCTGAGGTGAGGAGCTTCCCCTCTGCTCTGCTCTCCTGGAGGAGCGGGAGCTGCCCCCTCTGGAACGCCTCAAAGGGGGACTGCCCCTGTGCACGGCGTGAGGGCAGACAGAAGAGACGTCATGGAAATGCACGCTCCGGGCCCCAGGACATGGAGAATTCAATAGGTTGCTCTGCAGGCTGGAGAGGGAGGGAGACACCAGAGGGGAGAGAGGGAGAGAAGCGGTGCTGCACACACAGCCTGGCTGTCCCTGGATCACAGGGACAGCGTCCGGGGGCATCTGGCAAGAGACCCTGCGGCACAGCAAGGACCCTGCTCCTGAGGAACTGGTGGGGCAGACCCTACAGAGGCACCCCTGGGTGGAGCCAGCTTTCCTGGGACCTCCTCAGCCCCAGGGCTGCTGCAGCGGGTACCTTCATGCCCTGTGAGGAAGGAAGCAAGGCAGCGGGGCTGGCCCCAGGGCTGCGGTGAAATCCCCCTGGGGGCAGTTTTTTGCTTTCAGCGCATCAGCCTGGCTACCCCAGCCCCTCTTCTGAAGGCAAGTGGCTCATGGCGCTTGACCCCTGACCTTCACAAGGACAAAATGACAACCCTTCGAGAGAGAGAGGAGGCAGTGAAGGAGTCGGAAGGGGGCAGCAGCCCGGAGGTAGCAGTAAGCACCCATATTCGGAACTCGCTTGGCTATGAAGACTTGGATGAATTTGCCTTCAATTTTGAAGACTATGATTTATGGGAGGCCATCAGAAATCATCTGGGCTACCCAGGCAGGGAGCCCGCCTGTAAGTACCGGAGCAGTGACCCCACAGTCGCAGCTGTAGATCAGAGCCCCCAGCTAAAGTGTATATCCCCCACCCTGTTTTGCTGTATGCACCCTTCCCATGTCAGGTTGGTCTCCTGGTTTAGAGAAGGTATGGTCTGCCCCACTGTGTGACTGGGACACCAGAGGGTCTGTGTGTCTGTCTGATGTCTTTGTACAGATCTGTGTCGGAGTGCTGAGTTGCTTCCCTGTGTTTCGCTCAAGCAGCTCCAGAGACAGCTGCATCTTGCTGTTTGTGCTTATCAGGATGTGGCCTGTTCTGTGTCTAGAGAAAAAGCAGCTGCTCTGAGCTGTGTATAAGGATAGAGACATTTCTCCTTCTATCTGTGGCACAAGGTGACAGTGCTCTGTTTGCTGGAATTTGAGCTGAGCTGTGGATCCAGCAGCAGAGTTGGGTATCAGGTTCTCACCTCTGCACCTTAGCCTAATGCCTTGAGGAAAAAATAATTTAATCTCTGTGTCTGGAGGCTTAAGCTTGGCTGTGAAACTAGCAAATGGCAGGCTGTCTGCGGTGCCTGGAAGCAGGAAAAGGGGAAGGAACCAAGAGTGGAAAAAGCAGGGAAAGAGAGAATAGGAATCCCGAGAACAAAGAACATTTCTGTTCTCTGCATCTGTTTCAGACCTGCGCATCCCTTGTGGAGAGCTGCATCTCAGCTGTTGCAGGGACTGTGCAAAATCCAGAGCCTTGCTCCCACCTCACGCAGGCGGTCCTTGGCAGATGGTGGTAGCTCACAGCTTGACGGTGGCTTTGTCTGTCACCTTGGGAGTGACAGGGTTCATAGCCATAGCTTTGTGGTGGTTGCCCAAATGTCCTTTTCATGGCCTGGGTCATGTGTTAATTTTTCAAGGGATTTTAGGAGCACACATGAGAGGGTGCTGCAGTCCCAGAACTAGTTCACTTACTGGCTTTGCGCACAGGAGTGGGGAGGCACAGCACTTGCAACATGGAATCGGGATGCCTTGGTTGAGCTTCTGGCTCTGCCACAGCCTCTCTGTGTGATGTCAGGCAAAACATGTAACTTCCCCTGCCTCCCAGTCCCAGCATAGTGCTCTGTTTCTCAGCTAGCCCATCTTTACAACCCTTTGGGGAAGAAATGTCTGCCTATGTGCTTCTGCAGGGAGCAGCAAGTGGGGATTTGCTTCTGGCTGGGTCTGCTACTTGTTACTGTAAATTGTAGTAGCAGCAAAGTTCAAAATAGAAACGTGAAGCAAATTGGCTCCATCAGCTGTCCTGAGCTGAGCAAACTGTACATTAGAAGTGTGAGAAATTGCCCCAGTCTCACATAGGAAAGGAGAGCTATTCTTGGGAAGGTAGAAGGGCAGATAGCTTCTGCAAGGTGTGATGTGCATCACTTATAAAGAGGGGAAATTTGCCTTGCTAGCAGTTAATACGTTCATTGATTGCTACAGCTAATACTGCAGGTGCTTGAAATAGGATGTGCTGTACAGTCAACTCTTTAATTATTTCTGCAAAATGAATCCACACTGTGAATGAATCCTGCAGAGATATAGTGGAGACAGAGGTGGCAGAGACACCGGAGTCAGTTCTGTGAGGAGCCTGTGTCCAGCTAGTGCCATTTGCCCGCCTGCTTACTGCATAGCAGTACCTCTTCCAGGACCAACTCAGATCCAGGAGGAATTTAATAGCTTTTGAGCAGAGTGAGTCCTTTTTGGACCCGAGCTGCTCTCCTTGCACTCCTTTTAGTGCTCAGAGCATGGGGAGAGCTGGGCAGGGAGACCTGGATGGCAGTAGGGACGAGCCGGGGTCCAGCTGTCCTTATCACATTGAACTCGGCATCAGCCAGGAGAGACCTGGGGTTTGTGCAGGGCAGGGCTTCTTCCAGAAGCCAGCACAGTGTTGTGATTTACTGTATGTTGATTAGCATTTTCTTTAGTCTAATTTTAAATATTCAAAGAAATTGAGTTTCAACCTTTTTTTGTTTTCTTGGTATAACTTAAGCATTGGGGTACGTGGGAAGTGTGCACCATTTTTGTGATGTGGGGATAGCAAGTTGCTCTCTAGTACTGATACAAATACTCTGATGCCTCTTTCTGGACTTCCTGCTTCTGAATAGAAGATAAGGAAAAGAGGGAAGCATGAGCTTACACACAAATTGAAAGAAATTGCCTGCCAAGTTGGACTGACTATCACAGCCACTCTGGGAGAGACTTTAACAAGTGCAAAGTTGTATTTGTCATCTTCAGATGTAAGTTGATGGAAGAGGACCTTGATCATCCCAAGAAATCTGACTGGAAGCCAAAGTAGCAAGAAGATCTGGAGGAGACTGTAGGAGATGCTGTGTGGGAGGGTGGCATACCAGTTCATTGTAGTTAGCATAGGACTCACTCTGTATCCTCAGATATTGTCACTGTCTCATTCTCTGCTCCTGGGGAGCACTGGAGAGGACATGAAGGAAGAGCTGTCCTTGGCTGCTTCAACTCATCCTGGGGAGTTTGACTCCAAGCAAGGAGGGCAGAGCTCCTATGCCCTGGGCACATCACCCTTTTGTCTCAGTCCAAGATCCTGTCCTGAGTAAGGACCCAAGACTTAGTGAAGCTTGACTTTAATTTGAGGGAAGCACCAATCTGATGTGACACAGAAAGGTTGCTCTGCCTGGAGCAGCCTTTTGGGACTTACAAAGCCAGGGGCCTCTTTGTAAATTAAGCCCATGTGTCCACCCTGCTTCTATGAGTTGTTCCCCCGCAGCTGTCATCTCAGTAGCCACAAGTGCATCACTCCTTAGTCTTACACAGAGCTCTGAAGGTGTGCCTTCACCAGTTTGTTCTGAGCCTGCAGCATTCTGGCTGCTGTCCTTGTCAGAGTGTGGGAGTCACTGGAGATGCTGGCAGGAAACTTGGCTCCTTTTATTTTATCTGTCCTCCAACCAGTTGGTGGCTGAGACTGAACGCCTGTGCGTGCGTTCCAGGGCTATTGCTGAGGAGTGGCAATTGCTGAGGAGTACTGTGTGGCAGGTTGTCATCACCATGGGGGAGGCTTACTGTGCTTTGGGTGAGTGCTCTGTCTTGCTGGGCAGAGTGTCCTCTGGCCCTGGTCTTCCAGGGACATGGTAAGAATGAGTCTTAGGTTGCATGGGAGAATCAGAAGCTGCAGGGTTTGGAGCAAAGGTGCCAGATACCGAGATCATCTGCCTGGTGGACTTCGTTTTATGCATGAACCTACTCTGAGTGTGGTGAAGTGGCTTCCATGCGCACAGGAGCTGAGAAATCCTGCAAAAGTCCAAGGAAGCCCCACATGTGCCCAGCTCCCAGAAGTGTTCATAGTGATAGGCAGTTATTGGCTCCTATTGACATTGCAGTGCAGTAAGTGGAGCAGGGAGGAGTCTAGCTGTCAGCAGGACATGCATCAGCAGGGCAGCCAATGGGGGAAAATGCCTTGAGGCTCAGTATTGATTCATTTTATGTTTAATTTGGCAACCCAGATTTCCAAGGATCACGGCCATGGTATGCCTGGCCTGATGATGGGTGCATCTTTCCACGCCAGAGATGCATAAAAAAGAGACCACATGGCCTTCAAACCCAGCGCTTTTTACTAACTCTTGTGGCCTAAGAGCTTCCACTCTTGAAGCTAAGTGCAGAAAAGTACATGGAGACTTAACATTCATCCCAGCCAATGGAGAGCTGCCCTTGGTCCCCCAGGGAGAAGACCTTGTGTTTGCCTTACAAGCGTGGCCAGCAAGCCTCAATGGACTGAAGCTGAGCAAAACCCCTGACTCCATGACCTGCCTTGGGGAGCCTGTCCATCCTGGAGCCAGGCTCCAAGGCTTTCCTTATCCCTATGGTCTGTCTGTGCTGAGGAAGATACACTGAATAGTCCAGGGAAACTACTCTTTATGGCAAGTTGTTGCCAAAGTGCTGTTTCTCTGGCACTGCAAAAGTCTGGCATGGTTGTGGCCAGGTTTTGGTGGGCGCTAGCTAGGCAGCAGCAGTGGTAGCTTGGTGGGGGACTGTAATGCAGCCCCAACAGCTGCTCTTGGAGGCTTCAGGAGGCTTTGATTCAGCCATTTGAACTCTGTAACACAGACCTTTCAGACGGGATTACAGTGGCACTGAGGATCGTCTAGAAACAGCGATAGCTGGAGCCCAGCCTCCATGCAGCCCTGGTCTGCACTGTGATTCTACAGTCTCATTGCACAATTAAATAAAACAATCATTGATATTTCTATGTGTCTCCCAGACCAGCAGCTAAATATACTTCCCCTTCACTGCCCTTTATGCTTGTTGAGCACCGGGCCTTCCTCCAGTGGGAGAAATGAGCCCCAGCCAGGTGCCTGCCTGTTCTATCTGAGTGCAGAGCTATGCAGACAAAGCTTCAGGTTGTTCTTCATTGGTGGAGTATGAGGTGGGTTCATGCACGTCTAACTTGAGTACCATGAATAGAAGCTTTTGCAATGATGATCCAGTGTATGCACAGCGTGGGAGGAAGCCTTATTCTTGAAGGAATTAGCTCACAGACGTCTGGAAGAGCTGAAAGTAGACATGAGGCAGGAAGGATCTTCAAAGGTCTGGAGGATGATGGTAAGTGCTCCAGCTGCCAGGGCTTTGCTAGCATAAGCTAATAAGAGAAGGGTGGGTTTCGATATATTTCCCTGCCAGACAGCGTCTTTCCACTAGACAAACTAGGGGTCTTTTTTCCTTCCCTGTGTCTTCAGGCCACCGTTTTGAAGATAACCCTGGTGTGAGAAGGCATCTGATGAAAAAACCATCTCGGAGTCAGATCACCAGGACAAGCAAAAAATTAGCATCAACTCCATCTGTCAGAAAGAAGAAGAAGAAGAAAAAGTTGGATAGAAAGCCCCATGAGGTATCCATGTGCTGTTCTCCCACAGTTGCCTGGGATTTATGGCCTGAAGCCATAAATCAGGACTAGAAACAGGCATTTTAAGATATGATGTTTCAATATAATTAATTGTTTACATTACCTTGGGGGTGACATTTCAAGCTCTTATCCATTATCATGAAAATACACTGTTTTCAATAAAAGCAGAGGCTTCTCTGAAATCACAAAGCTTTGACCTTAGGAAAGATACTAAAAAGTCACAGAAACGGTAGTGCTACTGCAGAAGTTGGCAGCGCAGTAATGTCGCCATCTCTGGTAAGTGTTGGGAATTTTGGGGGAAACCAACAAACAGGCAGAGGACAAAACTGTCACAGTTTGGTAGAAGGGAATTCAGCATGGCATCATTCGTTTTCCTCTGCCCATGGTATCTGACTTAGGAGCTTTCTGGTGTTCCATGTGCTAATGAGAGCTCCTGCTACACTGCCAAGAGTATTTGTCCTGGCTGCTTCTATTCACTAAGCCTCTGGTTAACTAAGGCAGGCTTGCTCAGGCAGCACTTTAGACTAAGTGGTACTCAAGAACAAACCTGAAGCTCCCCTATTGCTGATAGAGCTGCCTGCATCAGGGGAACTCTCATGTCCTCACTGTATTTCATACAGGTGTTTGTGGAGCTGAATGAGCTGGTGGTGGATAAAAACCAGGAGATGCACTGGAGGGAGACAGCCCGTTGGATCAAGTTTGAGGAGGATGTGGAGGAGGACACAGCAAGATGGGGGAAACCCCACGTGGCTTCACTGTCCTTCCGCAGCCTGTTGGAGCTCAGGAAGACAATTGCCCATGGTGAGTCAGGAATGGCAGGCTAGAGTTTGTCTCTTGCTCTGGACAGGTTTTGCTGGACAGCTTCTGTCACTAACTGGAGACACGCCAATGGTGTCTGTATTCAGGCTCCAGGTAGAGTCTGTAGAGACAGACCATCCAGCACCCTTGTTGCCAGGGTTTACATTAGCCCAAGGGTGCTGTGTCCTTGCTCTGCTTTGCTGCTCTCAGGCACATGGCAGTTCTAACACCCAGCTGTTCCTGGGCCAGCATGTCTTGGACCTATCTTTGGTATGAAAAGGCAAGTTTGGTCAGAGTGGGAGACCAAAATGAGAGGGGCATACCAGAGCTATCAGTACATCTTGGAGCTTTTGAGTTCTCTTGGAACAAGAGTTTACACAGAGGGCATGGGGCATTGCACCTAGACTTGGGGCATTTCTCAGCTGAGAGAATCTGTACCCCAACCAAAGCGTGGCTCCTGGTGGGACAGCTGTGTCCCAGACTGTGCGTGTGTTGGGGAGTATTGCATGCTATGATCAGGGCTCTTCTCCTCCTGCTGGCAGGTGCTGTCCTCCTTGACCTGGAACAGACCACTCTGCCTGGCATTGCCCACCTCATGGTGGAGACCATGATCATCTCTGACCAGATTAGAGCAGAAGACAGAGCCAATGTGCTGCGTGCCCTGCTGCTGAAGCACAGGTGGGTGCCCGGGCTTGGGGACTACCTGCAAGCTCCAGGTGGCAAGGGCGGCGGGTCCCCTCATGGCCACCACTCTGCCCCTCAGCCACCCCAATGATGAGAAAGAGGGATTCTTCCCAAGGAACCACTCCAGCTCCAGCATGAACTCCATCGTGGGGAACCACCACCACAACCACACCGACACTTGTGTGCCCCTCATGGGGGAGGAGCGCATTGAGATGGCTGATCCCAAGGCCAGTGAGACCGAATGCAAGGAGGTGAGGGTGATATCAGGGGTTAGTCCTTCTTTTTCCACACCCTGGGAACAACTGTTGGCTGGTGGCAGCCCTTGGTGCCCATATCTGGGCCCCCTTATGGCACATCTTGTACTTGCAAGGGCTGTGCTCCTCTGCATCACTGGAAATCAGGTCGTTGCATGATGATTTTGGGACCTAATTTTAGCCTCGCACTGTATGCAAATGTCTGCTTGAGCATGCAATGGCAGCAACAGCCCTGGTGCTTGGAGAGTGGCATTTGCTGTGAGGGTGCCTTGCCTGTGAAGCAGGGTGTTGGGCGTACAGCCAAGGCAAGCCCAGCTGCAGATATGCCAGTGGGACTGTGTAGGGGAGACCATGGCATGGGATGTCATCCTTACGTGTCTGTATTCTTCCCTGCAGAAAACCCCACATCTCCATAATTCTGAGGGCCACCGTAAATACCTGAAGTTAATGGAAAAGATCCCTGAAGATGCAGAGGCCACAGTGGTCCTCGTGGGTAAGAGGTGGCATGTAGCATCTCCCAGCACCAAAAGAGTGCACCGCTAGTGCAGATCATGGTCTGGCCCTAGCTGTCTGTGCTCTTCTTCCTGAGGGGTACTTGGTCATCTTGTTGTACACGTTCTCAAAGTTCAGCTGGGGAGAGAGCCTTTTATGCTCTCTCCAGTGGTGATGGTGCACATTCTGTTTCTCTGTGGTAAATGCATGGGGTACCTGGGTAGTTCTTTTCCTAAATTAAGAGGTTGATAGACACTGCTGCTGGGAGCTGGGGCACAACTTAGAGGAGAAAGTCCTACAAAGCTCACCATAAGATCCCATTTTGCAGCTTAGAAGTGGCTAAGTGATGCCTGAGGGACTATTGGTCAGGCAGTGACTGCTGTCAGGCCTCCTGCTGTTCTCTGGCCATCACTGCCCTCCATCTGGTCTTTTCACACCTCACCAGCAGCAGGGCCCTGCCCTGCCAGGGGCAGTGTTGGTTGCTGGCTATGTGTGCCAGGGAGCTTTTGAGTTTTTGGGAGTAGGGCCTGGCTGGTGGCAAGGCCTTGGGTATCAGCCATAGTGCTGCCTGGGGATCCTTCTCTGTACAAAAGGGCTGTGAGTGGGCAGGCTCAAGCATCAGTGGGCTCAGTGCCTTCGACCACAAGAATAGTCCTCAGCACTTCTCTGGCATTAACATCTCAGCAAATGCAGATACACTATAAGCAAAGTAAATGCTATTGCCTATCCAGTAGATTAAAAGCTCAAGCAAAGAGGCTTGGCAGCTCAATCAAGCTGATGCTTAACCACAGCGAGGCCAAATCAGCTTCATAAATGCACTTAGATAACTAAACACTGGCCATTTCTGAGGTAAGGCTGTGTCTTGGGATTTGCTTGGCTACTAGGGTGGCCCAGATTTGCCAGTCTAACACAGAACGTGGCTCTTTGCTGGATGCAGATGGAAGAAAGATCAGTAATAATGTCAGAGAAATACAAGTATTCAAAAAACATTTGTGTTCGGCATGGGAAGGAAGCGGCTGGTGTGCCAGAGGATGCGAGAGTACTTCCCAATCTGTTAGGAACTGAGGAGACTGCCAAGCATTGATGAAATGTGGACTTTGTAAAACAAACTGCAGTTTGCACCTATGAGTCTAGAGAACTGGCTCATTTCCATCTGAGGAAAAAAAAATAAATCTAGGAATACAGGGAACATAAGGAAAAACAGCAGTAAGCTTATAGCATTAGTGCTCAAGAAAGGAAGGACCGTGATCCAGTGCCTGTAGGTTGTTTAACCCAACGTCCTTCCCAGGCAATACAATGGCAGAGCTAATATAGGATTCAATTAATAAAGAGCTAAAGCATAAGAATGTAATTATTGCCAAGTAGTGAGGTTTATGGGAAATAGGTCATGTCAAGGAAACCTGATTTCATTCTTTGATGAGATTAGAAGTTTGTTTGATAAAAGTAGCATCTAAGAGACTTCCTTCTATAAGGCAGTGGCCTTCTGATTTAAAATTAGACCCTTATAGTATAAGTAGAACCTATTTGTAAGAGATTAAGAATGGGCTAACTGGGAAGCTAAAGAAGATAGCACTGCTTGGGAATGATCAAGTAATAGGGGACTTGGAGCAGTCGTTGGAATGTGGTAATGGAGAAAACTGCTGTGTCAGTGGTCTGGAGAAAACAGGACTGCAGGGCTCATGGGAACCCCCCAAAATCCCTGTTTCCACTGTTAAAGGCAGCCCACTGCAGCTTACCCCTGTTATTGACTCTGCTCAAAACATTGCCTCCTGGTAGGTTGTGTGCAGTTCCTGGAGCAGCCAACTATGGCCTTTGTCCGACTAAATGAGGCCGTCTTCCTGGAATCTGTCTTGGAGGTCCCGATTCCTGTCAGATTCATCTTTGTGCTGCTGGGACCGAGCCAGGCCAACATGGACTACCATGAAATTGGCCGCTCAATCTCCACTCTTATGTCTGACAAGGTGAGGTGCTGATGGATAGTAATGCTGGCACAGGTGAGGGAGCTTCGATAGCTCCCCCGAAGTCAGTCCTGGGATGAGAGCTCTGAGAGGTGCTATGCAAAGGCCCAGGTTGCGCAGGCAGAAATGAGCACCTGGGATTTTTAACAGCAGCTGACCTTGACCAAGGTAGGATGCTGCAGTATGAAGGGAAGAGTAGGACAGGCACTTGGCTGGGACAGAGAGTGTTAGGCTGGGTGAAGAAAGGGGCTGTATGTAAAACCAAGAGCAAAGGACTGCCCAAGGTTAGAGGAATTGTGTTCAGTTGACGTTTCACAAACATAGGAGAGGAGGCTGTGACCATGATGCCTGGCCCAGGCCACTCTGACAAAAAGATCCAGCAATGCCTGGGGATTGTTGTCTGGTGTTTGGATGAAGGTTTCTAGCTGCCCTGTAGCTAGGGCATCATCCATGCAGAGGAGCACATTCATGCAGGAGGAGAGATGAGGAGGCAGGAAGGCTTTTCTGGGAAGCGTGTGCACTGCTAGAAGTCCCCCATCTAGCTAGATGGCAGGAAAGTGAAATTCATTATCCTGGTAAGGAATTAAAGGCAAAGAAAAGACAATCAGCATCTGCTGTATTCATCCAGGACAGGAAAATCAAAGGTTCACAGGGTCCACCTGGCTTAGTGCCATGTAACTATAACCAAGTAAAATGCCTGCCTGTTCTGTCACCAGTGCCCAGCTCTTCCTGAAGTGGGGACAAAGAAGTCCAATCAGAGCAGGTGGGTTGCAGGGAACAGGGGCTCTTGGCTGAAAGATCCTTTCCTAGGAGTTACATAGGGCTCAGCTCAGACTATGGTTGTAGCCAGAAGACATGAAGTGCCATATTCCAGCTTCAGCACTGCGTTTGTGGACTGATCTCACTCATTTGAGCCTCTGCTCCTCTGTTGCTGGAAGAGGAGAGCCAGCTGCCGCAGCCAGAGCTGGCCATAGCAAGGTTATGCAGTGGCTGGCGCCATGAAGAGAGTATGATATCATTTACAATTTGAAGCTGTGCCTCCAGGGAGTCTGTGCTGCAAGGACCTTAGCTGTCCCCTACCTGCTTTACAGGCTGTTCACTTGTTCATCTTCTTCCAGCCCCTTCTCTGCAGGCATATTCCAGAGGCAATGCAGCACTTCTGCCCATTTGCCAGCACCTTCCTGCCAATCTGCTGTCTCCTCATGGTGTCCTTGGAGTACTTCCTTGTCATCTTGGCCTTGCCGTTAGGATATCTCCCCTTTTATGCTTGGTTTCCCTTACATGGCTTCCCTCATGCTGTAGACTTCTGCTTTCCCTCCCTCTCCCATGTGGAGACTCCCAAGAGTCTCTTACTCTCCCTGCTCATGTCCTGGTTCTTGTGCTTTATTTTGTGGTGCTTTAGGGCTCCACCAGCTTCTCCCTCAAAACAAACCCAACACCAGACTGGGAGGATGTCATTCTATTGCAAAGTTCTAATTTTGAGCTGCAGGGGCAGGAAACAGCTTTCATTTCTGTTGCGCCTGGCTTCTGGTACATGTCTGAGTTGGGCTCTGAACAAGAGCCCTGCAGGACTGAGGAATGGCATGCAGAACTTGTAACGATCTAGGCCTGATGCAGCCACAGTTACTTGGTGTGAACAGAGGCACGGGCTGGCCAGCTGTGGTATCTGGCCTAGGGAATAAGTGGCACCAGGCTATACCTGGGAAGCACAGATCTGATTTTGATTGATGGAGAGGTCCAATGAGAGACGCCCTGTGGTCTGGCAGAGCGTGCAGCTGGCAGAGATGCTGCAGGAGCATTCAAGAGCAGTGGAGCACTGGGGAGAAAAGCAGGAGCAAAGAGTTTCTCTGGAAAAGATGGATAGGGAAGGGAAGAAAGACATGGGATTCTGTGAGGGGCATTGGGTAGAAAGATGTGGAGGAGGGATTCAGGAATGTGGGTCACAGAGTGGCAGTAGTGAGTCAAGTGTTGGGTTGAGGGAGCAGGATGTTACTATATGGTCACAGCAAGCATTTCCAGGCTGCAGGGAGATGGGTGCAGTCTTGGTCTGAGCCTTCTCCCTCTCTCTTTTTCCCTGCTCCTCTCAGCACTTCCACGAGGCTGCATACATGGCAGATGACCGTCAAGACCTCCTCAACGCAATCAATGAATTTTTGGACTGCAGCATCGTCATCCCCCCATCTGAGGTGGAGGGGAAAGACTTGCTCAAATCCATCGCCACCTTCCAGAAGTTACTGCTGATGAAGAGGAAGGAGAGGGAGCAGAAGTCCATGAAGGAGGGGGCTGTCCAGGAAGCCAAAGGTCTCTCCACTCACATTTGGGCAAAAGAGTTTGTGCCTAGTGCCCTGCGTGCCCCAGTGGGCCCTCCCCTCACAGAGCCTGGCAGAGGGGTGAGCGGGTCTGGCTCCTGCAGTGGGCAGGGGGGAGGACGGCAAGGGGATGTAGAACAGTGGCTGTGGGCAGCTCTGGCAGTTGGGGGCATCTGGAGCTAGTGGGATGTGCAGCTGCAGGGGGTCAGCACTGCTGGAGGAAGGTTTCAGGGGGCATGGGGCAGAGGGACAGCTGAAGCGCAGATCTGCATTCTCCTCCTCAAGCCCTACCCTCCATGTACCTCCAGAGCTGTGTGAAGTGAAAGCTGAGGAAGAAGAGGAGGAAGCTGAGGACGACCCTTTGAAGCGGACTGGGATATTTTTTGGAGGTCTGGTTCGGGACATAAAGCGCAGGTACCCCAAATACCTCAGTGACATCAGAGACGCCTTGCACAGCCAGTGTCTCGCAGCCGTTCTCTTCATCTACTTTGCTGCTCTCTCTCCTGCCATCACCTTCGGGGGACTCCTAGGTAATGGGCCTGCTTTCTGGTCTGCTCTTTGCACGCTGGGACACTGGCTGTGTCTGTGTGATGCTGTGCTGGGGTGGGCTTCAGTTCTGCTTGCTCTGGGAGAGCAGCAGTGCTGTGCCTCAGCTGCTGCCTTGTTCCCTCACTGCCGCTTGGCCTCTCCAGCCTCGGCTCCCCAGGCTCCCTCTGTGCTCCCTGCCCACTGCAGGGGACCTCTGACTGATGGGACAGAGACCTGCCTCCTCTGTCTGGAGCTGTGTCTGCAGCCTGCCTGCCTGTGGTGACAGTGGTTTTGTCCAGGCTTTAACACATGTTGTTTTCTTTCCCAGGGGAGAAAACTGAAGGTCTCATGGGGGTTTCTGAGCTGATAATCTCCACCTCGGTTTTAGGGATACTCTTCTCCCTGCTTGGAGCTCAACCGCTCCTGGTCATTGGCTTCTCAGGGCCTCTGCTGGTGTTTGAAGAAGCTTTTTACAAGGTACATGTGAAGCAGTGTCTGTGCTTGGCACTTGCTTGCTCTGCCCTTGTGCTGGAGAGGGCAGCAGGCATTTATCAGCTCTTTAAAGGGTCTTTGATGGTGTGGACTCCTTGGGTCCTTTCAAGCTGCCCTCACCTCAGCCAGGGCTGGTTCTGGCTCTGCTAACCCTTTGCATGTCTGTCACACCACAGGGACTTGTTGCTGTATTCCGTGCTCTGACCCTCTTGAGATGTGACAGTGGTAACAACATTCCTCTGCTGCTGTGAGGGGAGCATCAGCCCCCAGCCCTGTGCTGCAGCCTATCCTGGCACAATTCTGCATCCTAAAATATTGGTCCATAATACAGTATTATTGTCGGTGCTTCCTTTATTGATGACCATTTCACAGCCTCTACCCATGTACCTCTACCCTGGGTAGCCAGGATGGACGTGTTTCTTTTTCAAGTAACATAATCTCTTCACAGTTAAAAGCATCCCTTTGTCACCATACTACCAAAAAGTGGGTCTAATCCTTCTCCTTTTTTTCTGATGGTGATGCTTGGGCTTTTAACATGTGTTTTTTCCTACAGCTATATTTTCACCTTGATGTGTCAAGAGTTTGGAGCTGGTGATGCTATTGCAGTGGGAATTTTTCTGCTCTTCTGTGACTGCACTTCTCACTGACTGCTTTTGCTTTGCCCAGTCATTGTGTGCAGTGGTATACCTCTGCCCTGTGGGAGGGCACTGTCTGTAGTGGTACTAGGAGGGCTGCAAAGGAAGGGATGTGATTTGTGCTGGAAGTAATAGAAGTAGTTGGTGTTGCTGTGTGTGGATGAGCAGAGGCAGTGGAGATGTTCTGTGGTGACAGCTTGGGGGCTTTTCTCCTGTATGTGTAAAAAGGGCACCATCTGGGATCATGCACCAGCTAACATGGCCTTTATGCCGTGGGACCAGCAGGCTGCTCAGGCTCTCCTTTGTGTGAAACAGTCTTGTGCTTTTGAGTGCATAGAGCAGTGGAGAACTGTGTTTGAGTAATGGCATCTCCATATGGGTGACATGGGGAGCATCATGCATGGGATGGCTTCAGCAGAGAGTGAAGGAGGTACTGTTGCAAAGACTGGAGCAGTAAAGATCTGCTTGATGTGATCTGGCTGGTGTTAATGCAAAGTCTGCAACTTTACATGTGACTCCAGCCTTGAGTTCACTGTCTCTGTGCTGGATGTCCAAGCAGATGTAGATGTTTTTATCAGGAGAATCTTTGATCTTAATGGGGAGTAGATGTGGGAGGCAGCCTAAGGAGCCATGAGTAACTCCTTCCCCTTTCCATTTCAGTTCTGCCAGACACAAGGCATTGAGTATCTGACAGGCAGAGTGTGGATTGGTTTGTGGCTCATCGTCTTCATCTTCATTATTGTGGCAGCTGAGGGAAGCTTCTTGGTGCGCTACATCTCGCCCTTCACCCAGGAGATCTTTGCTTTCCTCATCTCTCTCATCTTTATCTACGAGACCTTCTACAAACTGTACAAGGTGAACCTTCCCCAGAGAGATGAGCTGCTGCATCTCTCAATCCCCCAGGAACCTGCTGTGTACAGGAGGTAGGGGGGAAGGGCCAGCTCAGCCACAGCTTTCCTAGACATTCTGCAGAGCAGATCATTTTTGGCCTCTGATGCCCCAGCCCAGCTGGCCCCTGTGCCACCACAGAAACTGGCAGGATGAGCCCTAATGTCTGTCTCCCCTTCTTTTCCTGCAGGAGGCATTAAAGAGGGGCCACTTTTCTCTCCCCAGCCCTCTCCAGCTGGGTAGGTTGCGAGGCAAGGTGACAGATGTTGGGATTGTTTCCACCCACCATCTATTGCTCTCACCTCTCCACAGAGCAGGATATCTCCGCTTCCCCTTGCCCTCAGTAGTGACAGTGCCACCTGTCCCTCCTTGTGGTGACAGCACCTGCTGCTTCTCTCACCTGCCCAGGTGTTTGCAGAACATCCTCTGCTGAAATTCTACCCACCGAATGTGCAGAGTGGCCTGAATGCCAGCATGCTCTCTGCGGATGCGATGTCACTGGGAATCAGGATGCAGCCCAACACTGCTCTCCTCTCCCTCATCCTCATGCTAGGCACCTTCTTCATTGCCTTCTTTATGCGCAAGTTCAAGAACAGCCGTTTCTTAGGAGGAAAGGTGAGAAGCTTGTGGGACCCAGATGTTAAGGACAAGGGATGTGCCCAACAAATAATGCTTCTTGCTACAGACCTTTGTTCTCCAGAACATTTGGACCATCCCCTAAATAAACACTAGCAATCCCTTAAATACCCTGCAGAAGGGATGGTAGCCTGCCGTTGCCTCCAGACCAGAGCTGGCACTTGGTAATGGTATCTGCATTGTCCTGCTCCAGTGAGCCGAGTGAGGTTTGCTGCAAAGTCCTCTGGACCTTAGGAAACCTTTAGCTGGATACAAGTCTGTTAAACTAGAATATAGGAGGAAGAGCTTACAGCTTGTTCCTTTGGAACATGCAGGGCTTGTGTAACACTGGAGCACCATCCAAATAGGCTCATAGGAGCAATTTACGAGTGGCTGGAGGACTGTGTTATGTGGGCAGTGGGGTGTGCAGCTGGATGGGTCAAGGCTGAGGTCACTTGCCCTGGTCAGCAGCAGTGCTTAGGTTTGCAGTGGTGCTTGGCCCTATCTGGGGCTTCGCTTTGCTGCACTCTCTGTGTAGCTGGGTGGAGGGACAGAGCTGACCCGTTCCCTTTGCCAGAGAGGGTGTTTGTTCTGCAGGCTCGGCGGATCATCGGAGACTTCGGGATCCCCATCTCCATATTGGTCATGGTGCTGGTGGATTACACCATCACTGACACATACACGCAGGTATGGTACATGCAGGAGGCACCAGCACCGCCCTCAGAACCCCTACTGCATCCCAGCAGTGAATCCCTGTGGCACCATGGCCTGCTCTTGTGCAACAGGAGCTTCATATTTCCTGCCTCTTTAGTCATAACATGTTCTAGCATATTTGTGCTCTTCTTGACTATAGGCTGCTAAGTATTTTGATCACTTTGCCTCAAATACAATGATTTTTTTTCCCAGTTTATGCACAAACTGAAATGTTATCAAACAGACCCACATTACAGGTTTTCTTTCTCCCCCCTTTTTTAGTAGATGTGTAATAATATATATTTTTGGTTTGTTATTTTTTTCAGCTGACATTGAGCATGGGTGAAAGGTAGTTCCTATTCAGCAGGCAAGCTTTTTTTCCAGACAGCCCAAGGCTTAACAGAATCCAAATGCATTTCTATTCATTTAAATTTCAATGAAAAATCTGGCTTTATCAGATGTTAGTAAAATCATGCACTTTGTTACATTCTTTTCATACCCTTCTAGACTTCTACAGTTAATATCAAAAGCATTATCATTTCAGTGTTAACTCAGCGTATGTACAAAGCTTTCTGAGAAAATGGCACTTACACAGCTTAGCTCAAGTACAAGCATTCCAGAAATATTATTCATACTTATGCTGATTAACATAAATGCAAATCATAAACTCTCCCTGCAGTGCTCACGCAGGCAGACAGCAAGAACTGCTGTAGAGCGTTGCAGAGCTGAGAGTTCAAATGCTGGTGAACGCAGGGTCGGGGTGATGTACAGTTAGGGGTCTGCATGGTCTCTGATAGGAGCACAAACGCGTTAGTCCCTCTGAATATGATCAGAGTAGGTTCATTTCCAGAGAATGTGGCTGCTCCTGGGGCTCGCGCTGCACAGACAATACTGAAAAATGTCTCAGAAAAAGCTTTGAAAGTCTGAAAAGCCACCTCAGAGAAGGGTAGGCAAGTTCAGGACACTTGATTTGTGCAAGCAGAGGTCAAGGAGCGTTTTACTCTGTTCTGCAACCACTGACAGTGCTATTCCTATGGGAAAATACTTCCTTGGTCTCTTGGACAAAACTGAAGGGAATTCCAATAGCTGAAAGGAAATGAGACAGGCCTATGTTAGGGCACATGGGATTTTTTCACTGAAGGGGATTATCCATGAGAAAGTCCTGCTCGGGTCAGGGTGTTTGTCCCATCATCTGAGGCATTCAGACCAGGAAGACCAGGAGGATCAAGGCTGTCCTGTGTGAGGCTGTGGGCATGTGTCTACTGATGACTAACTGCTGGGTTTTGTGGCTACACCTACAGAAGTTGAATGTCCCCTCTGGCCTGTCAGTCACATCTCCTCACAAGCGTGGCTGGTTCATTCACCCCATGGGCAGCAGCGGGACCTTTCCAATGTGGATGATGTTTGCCTCTGCCATCCCAGCCCTCCTGGTCTTCATTCTTATCTTCATGGAGACACAGATCACCACGTGAGTACCTCCCCACCAGTGCCTATCGTCACTAACCCAAGGGTAGGTTAGGCTGGGATGGGTGTTGGTGCTGTTCATGTGGTGATGCATCTGGCATCCCAGTGGGACAGCAAGGGCAGGATTCTGGCCATTTCATAGAATCACAGACTGGTTGTGGTTGGAAAGGATCATCTGGTTAGGGCTGGATAAGATCATCTAGCTTCAACTCCCCTGACGTGGTCAGGGACACCTCACACTAGACCATGTCGCCCAAAGGCTCTGTCCAGCCTGGCCTTGAGCACTGCCAGGATTGGAGCATTTACCACTTTTTTGGGCAACCTGTTCCAGTGCCTCACCAACCTCACAGTAAAGAGCTTCTTCCTTATATTTTACCTGAACTTCCCCTGTTTAAGTTTAAACCTATTATCCCTTGTCCTATCTCTACAGTCCCTGATGAATAGTCCTCTGGCATCCTTGTAGGCCCCCTTCAGATATTGGAAGGCTGCTATGAGGTCTCCACGCAGCCTTCTCTTCTGCAGGCTGAACAACCCCAACTTTTTCACCCTGTCTTCATACAGAAGGTGCTCCAGTCCCCTGATCATCCTTGTGGCCTCCTCTGGACTTGTTTCAACAGGTCTGTCCTTCTTCTATTGAGGACACCAGAACTGTATCTTCTTGGGTTCTGCCATCATGTCCCGGCTCCCCTCTTATCATAGTGTGGTGGGGATGCACCTTAGCCAAGTGCAGGAGGAAACCTCTAACCTGAGGTTGGCATCCACCATCTCTCTCCTCAGCCATCTACTTGTTGTCCCCATGTTGTGTGGTCTCTCCAGGGAGTGAATGTGCTGTTCCTGGGCACTGGGCTGAGCCTGGCGCTGACCTGAGCTCTTCTTCCTTCCAGGCTGATTGTTAGCAAGAAGGAGAGGAAACTGCTGAAAGGCTCTGGCTTCCACCTAGACCTGCTGCTTATTGGCACTATGGGGGGGCTTTGCGCACTCTTTGGGCTGCCTTGGCTGACTGCAGCGACGGTGCGCTCCGTCACCCACGTCAATGCCCTGACGGTCATGAGCAAGGCCATTGCACCAGGAGAGAAGCCCAAGATTGAGGAAGTGAAGGAGCAGCGTGTGACTGGAGCGCTTATTGCTGCTCTTGTTGGTGAGCCTCTGCTCGGGTGAAGGAGGGGGGAGGTCAGGGGTGACCACTCCTGGCAGTATCCCTGCCCCGCAGGCCAGCCTGCGTTCTGCCTGCTTGCTGTAGGACAGCCCCCACCTTCACGGAGCTCTCTGCTGGCAGCCTTCGATACCCTGCCATGGTCAGTCCAGCTCTGCAACCCTTCAACCCTTCCAGCTAGACCCGTCTTGAACTTCCTTTCCCTTGCACCCTAGGACAGAGATGAGGCGGGAGAGGGACAGAAGCTGAGGTGCCTTGCAGAGGGGCTGGCGTGGGACACACCTTGTCCTGATCTCTCTCTGTGCAGGTCTGTCCATTGTGATGGGGAACATGCTGCGGCAGATCCCACTGGCCGTGCTCTTTGGCATCTTCCTGTACATGGGGGTTACATCGCTCACTGGCATCCAGCTCTATGAGCGGCTGCTCCTGATCTTCATGCCATCCAAGCACCACCCTGACCACATCTATGTTGTCAAGGTGAGTGAAAGCAGCTTGTGGGGAACCAGGTAACAAGGAGCAGAGGAAGAAGAGGCAGGTGAGGGGAGAATGGTGCTTTGCTAGATTGATGCTTGGCTTGGTGACCCCTGCCTTGGCTGCAAGCTTGTGCCGAGAAGTAAGTCCAAGCCATGCGTAGAGGTGGTACATCTCTAGAATAGTGTACTGATAGGCTTCACAGGAGTGTCTTGCCAGGATACTGTAAAGATGGACTGTCTATGGGAGTGATGTATTGCTTGAGTGAGTGTAGGGACACTGCACTGCTAGGTTGCACAGAGGCTGATGTGTTAAAGAGTTCTGCCTTGTTGTAGAGTACAGGCAGGTAGTGTGCAGCAGTGTTACATTACTGTACTATGCTATGCAGAAGGGTTATGTCTTGCTGGTTGGTTCTTCATTAATCTGTGTGGAAGGATAATGTGTTCTTAGTCTGCATTTACCTCCCTAGGTGAAGACCTGGAGGATGAATCTCTTCACCTGCATTCAGCTGGCCTGCATTGTGCTGCTCTGGGTGGTGAAATCTACAGTGGCATCCTTGGCCTTCCCCTTTGTCCTGATCATGACAGTGCCATTGCGACGCTTCGTGCTGCCCCACTTCTTCCATGACAGGGAGCTCAAAGCGGTAAGCAGACAACTGTTTTAACGGCCTAGCTTGCAAGACTGGAGTGAGGTTGAGGAGATTTGGCAGACTGAAAGGCTAGGAGATCCTGGGCCAGCAAAGCCTTGGCTTTTCCTGCCCTTGTCTGGGGGTCTTTGTTCAACAGCAGTAGGTGAGTGGATGGCTTTCTTAGAGCTTGAGAGAGCACTAGAGAGTGCAGTGTGGGATGGATGAGCAACCTAGAGCAATGAGACAGAGGATCCTACCACACAGAGACCTAGAATAAGGGTTTCCCCTTCCATCTTCCTCCCCATTTGTGGCTTATTCATCAAGCAACAACCCATTTCCCACTGAGACAGCAGCAAGGACAGCCCAGCAGCACACCAGAGCTTGGTACAGGAGCATGTAACCACAGAGCCAGGGTGCTGGCAGCTCTTTGACTGCTGCCAGTATCCTGAGCTCCTGTTGGAAAGCAGCCTGGAGCAGCACCCAGAAGTGGGCACTGCCAGCAGGGGTGGAGCTGCTGGTCTGGACCAAAGCCCCAGTGACAGGGCACTGTCAAACAAACACTCTGGGAAAGGGCATCAGGTTGGGGACACATGGATGGGTACAAAAAGGAGACCGCTGGGAGGGGAAGGAGTAAGAGCTTTGCTCTTCCCGGCACAGCCCACCTGCCTGGCTTGCTGCATGCTGGTCCCTCCATGCCACGCTTGATCCTGCACTAGGGGCGGCTTCCTAGCCCAGTCTCTTCCTCTCCCCAGCTGGACTCGGAAGATGCAGAGCCAAACTTTGATGAGGATGGCCGGGATGAGTACAATGAGCTGCACATGCCTGTGTGAGCTGGGAGCTGCCCTCCACACTCATGGGACAGGCTGCTCACGCCTGATCATCCCTCCCAAGGCCTAACTGGAGACTTGCCATGAGTCATGTGATCTCTTGCCTGAACCAACAAATGGCTGTTCTATAGCCCCGCAGGAGGCAGCCCTGACTCCTGCTGCCTCATCGCTTGCTCAGCAGAGGCTGTGAGTTTCTCTCCTCTTGGACCTGGTGGGCTGAGAGATGCCTCTCACATCACAGAACTGTGTGGGTCCTGAGTGCCCATGGGTCAGGGCTCTGCCCCCTCCTTGCTGGAGGCAGCCTATGCCTGGTCTCCTGGTGGTGAAGGGGAGCCATGCCAGCTGGTGCCACCCTGTCCCTCTCCACTACCGTGAAGTTTGGGTGTCTCAGCACCATGTGCCACTGAGCAGTCACAGAGATGGGCTGGATGCTACCTGTGAACGGCCAATGGGCTTCTCCCAGGCCAGCAGCCTCCTTGCTCAACTGGTGGATGCCTTGCTCCTGCTCCTTTTCCTCCTTCCAGGAGGGCTCATGCTGGGCCTGTGCCACAGACCCTGGCCCATGAGGCTTCTGCAGCCTGGCAGATGGAAGGGACCAGTACCCTGGCCCTGTCCTCCAGACCAGCATCCGTCCAGTCACCATCCCACAGGACTGTTTTCAGCTCTTGCTTGGCATGGGGGAGGCTGTTTGGTTCCTCCTGATTCTCCCAACCCTCTTTCCACAAGAAAACTGCACAGGAAGGGGAGGCTGGTGACAAGCAGGTATCCTGAAGCCTCGAGTGCCTGTCCTCTTGCAGAGATTAAGAGGAGTCCTGTGCCATTCTGCACCTCCATACAGGTTGCAGAGGTAAAAATTCATCACTGGGCTGCATCCCGGTTCCTGATTCCCACGTTCTTGTCCCTGAGAACAAACCATATTTAAGAAGCTGTACAAAGGATGTAGTGCTGGAGTGCAAAACAGTCCTTTGGGTCCCCTCCCTTTCCCTGTGCAGTGGTCCACTGGGTCTGGCTCCCTGCAGCCCTATGAGGAAGTCACTGAAACCTCCAGCTCACATTCTGCTGCCATACCAGCATCCTGTGTGACCTTTTGTGCCCAGGGGTGCCTTCCAGGTAGAAAGGAGCAGCATTCAGCATGCCCAGCACTCAGCCCCATTCATCTCTGGGCAGTTCCAAACACCTTTCCACCTGTCAGAGCTGTCCCCTGGGGTCTCCCCTCACTCAGAGCTGCCCCAGGAACTGGTTCCGTTAATGGTTCCATTGCTGCCCCCATTGGCTCTGAGAGTAGTGCCAGAGCAGAAGAGCCTCTCAGCCTTTTCCTGATGGTTGGAGCCAGAGTGGCCTTCTGGAGGAGGCTGGGATGCTCACTTCACCATTGCATTTGGGACAAGCTGCTGCTCCAGTTCCTATTTATCAGCCTGGCTCTTGCCAGAGATGGTGGATTCTTCAGCACTGGGAGGGTTCAACGCCTTCCCAGGAGGCTCTAGAAATATCCCACCAGAGAGAGAAATCTCCCCCCACAGCAGGTTCCTGCCCCACAACCTGGCCCCTCCACAGGGTCTGGGGTGGAGGGACAAGTGTCTCTGTGTGTCTGTGGCCATGTGTGTCCTGTCCTCACTGTGTAGTGTAGGAGGCCTGTTGTCGCTGTGCATTGTGACTCCTCTGACTGTAGTGGAAACGGCTACACCAATAAACTCTTCACAGGAATCGTGCCTGGCTCCACTTCTGTTTGTTAATTTACAATAAATTAAATTGATTGAAACTTCATGACACAAAACAGCAGTCTTGCCCACACCAACAAGGCTCAGCTGGAGAGGGGCCACTACCAGCACAGAGGTAGGTTCTCCACCACCATCATCAACCAGGCTAGTGATGTGGGCTCAGCTGGAGGCCCCATGCTGGATGCTGGAAATGGGAGGCTGAGCCCCGTATTTAACCAGAAACGTGTAACATGCCTGCTTGCATCCATTCACACATGCATGCGTGTGCCTGTGTGCTGAGCAGCATTTGGTGCCCATCTCCTTATCTAGCCTGTAGCTACACGCCAAACAGCATGGCTATGGGCTAAGCATGGAGGAAACATCTCATTGAAATACACGTTCCCTCCACGTTTTCTTCCCAGGCAGGAGCCAAGCCAGGTTCTCATGAGCTGCTGGCTGCCTGCAGCCCATGTGGTGATGGGTTGGATGTCCCTCAGTTGAGCTCTTCTGAGTGCTGCTGCTGCTGGGAGTAGGTGGTGGTACCACCTCCTGTGGTCACGGTCTCTGTCTGCTCCTGGGGCTGGCCAGTGCCATGGGGCTCTTGTCAGAGGGCTGAGCCTGCCTGGGCACAAGGGTTGTGGCCATCTCATTTCTGAGCTGGGCCCGCTGTGGGGTGGGTAGTACTTGGCCTCGCAGCATCCTCTCCAGATCCCGGCAGTGCTGCTGAACCTGTGGGAGAGGAGGCAGTGCTGTCCAGCCTTTTCCATGTAGCTCTCCTGACCATAGCGATGCCCCCAACTCAGCCGGGGATGCAGGGCAGGAAGCACAAGCAGATCCATTGTGAACTCCTTACCTCATCAATCCTCCGGATGAGAATGGGCCTGACCTCCAACTCCAGCAGCCAGTCGGCCTCCAGGATGCTGTGATGGTACTCCTCCACCTCCAGGTTCTTCTGCAGCTCCTCAGCCAGGGCAGCCTGGTGCCGGTGACCTCTCGTACGCTGGCTCTGCTGGGGCCGGGACCGCTCTGTCACCTTGCCCTGCTGCTGCAGGCGCAGGACACGGATGCGCTGGGTGACATGGCAGACCTGGGCACGCAGGGCAGGTGCCCGGTCCCTGCAGTGCAACAGGGCCAGCAGCTCCTCCTGGCTCTCCCGCAGCCGGGCTTGCAGCACCCTGGTGCTGTTGCCTGCCCCCAAAGACTGCAGTGGGACCAAGAGGTTGGGCAAGCCCCCCAAGTGCTGGGGAACCCTGCTGCGCAGCGGGGGCTGCACGCTGCTGGGAGCCAGCCCTCCTCTACCCGGCACTGGTGGCTGCTGTGGCAGTGATAGTGATGGTGATGGTGGCAAGGAGAGGCTGTACCTGCTGCGATGGAGATGGACCCACTGCTGGGCAAGTTTCGCTGTGGCCAAGCTCTGGTGAAAGACATCGGGGATCAGCCGCAAGACCTTCACAAAGGGCCCCACACCATCAAAGCCACGCAGGTCACGCAGGCTCTGGGGGCTGAAGACCTGCTCAGTGAGGGGCCCACCCTGCAGCAGCAGCCCCCAGTTACGCCGGTGGGTGAAGAGCTGTGTGGCCAGGCACGGGATGGATGCGGGGCAGGCAGCTGGCTGCTCATGCATGTACAAGTTCTCACAGAGCGGGACCACCACTCTGGCATCAAACCTCTCCTTCAGCATGCTCAGGTGGTGCAGGTAGGAGGCCAGCCAGCCCACGTAGTTGGCCACGTCAGAGCTGGCTGCACCAGGCTGGCCCTGGACAAGCTTCTGCAGGTGGTGCCAGCTCTCCACCTGCCCTGATGGGCTCTGTGGCAGCACAACCAGCAGCACATGGTACAGGCTGCGCAGGTTGAAGCCCTGCTGGCACTGCTGTACATGCCTCATGAAGGCGCTGATCTCTTCTTCAAGGGCAGAGTAGAGGGCTTCCATGGGTCCTAGTGATGGAGAAGAGGCAGCCAGGATCATAGCTCATCCGCACAGTCCTAGGCCCTGGATGGACTGGAAAACACGCTGCACCAGTATGCAATGAATGCATGGACTGGAGTAGGCAGGATTGCTGCAGAGGCTTTCCGTCTGGGTCACAGCATGGGCTCAGTCAGCAGCTGGTGCAACCAAAGGCTGGCATGGTGCTTCAAAGATGTCACATCTGGCCAGTTCAGATGAGTTGGTCCCTGTTGCTCTGCTGAAGAAGAGACAGTGGGTGGGTGGGGAGGAGGGCAACAGGGACAGGCTGCGGCAGAAGGAGTGAGGGAGCTGCAAGGGGTGAGCTCCGTGGGGTACACCCACTTTTGTGGCACCAGATAAGGAGGGAGTCACTGCTGGGTGCTGCCACAACAGGGGCACACTGGACCACAAAATGCTGGTGCAGTGTTTGGAGAGCAGCAGAGAGTCTGCCTGTAGCCCCAGGGGATGCTGCTGTGGGAGTGGGGAGAACACTCTAGATGCCCACAGCCCCCCAGCTGCCCTGAGGATGTTCTGGGATGCGATTTATGTCCTCCTACTTCCTGGAAGGGGACTAGTTGTGCCAGACCAGGACTGTGTGCTGACCGGCAGTTTCTCCCACCTCTCTGTTGTTTGAGAGCAACTTTATCTTTACAAAAGTAAGCAGACACCCTAGCCTGCCTGGAGAACTAAATATAGGAGGACTGTTCCCAAAACTGTCAAGTCTGTAACTTTAAACCATTGCGTGTTTAGGCAAACTATATGGGTTTCTGTTTCTGCCACTCAGGTTCAAGTACACTCAAGCTATCTGCTCCAGTTATTTTCGTTTTCCACAGCCAGGAGGGGCTGGCACATCTCTGTTGTAAGCTACCACTGGCACCCCTTCACACAGCCCTGTGGCTAGGAAGTTAAGGAAATTGCTAGCTAAGACCGTCTCCACAACAAAACTGGGAACCAATGCCACTGGCAAAGTTTCCCCTCTCTCCTGTATAAGTCCTTGCCTAGGCTTTGGTGTCTCCTTTTCAAGCACTCAAAATGCATTAAGATAAATGTAAAAATACTTTTTCCTTTTCCCCATGAGGAAGGGTTTGTGAACCCTGCCCCGGGCAGCGGGGGTGTTAGGTAAAATGGCAGAAGATGTCAGCACAGCGTGCAATGCAGGCTGCCAGGGGTGAGAACAGCTTTGGTTGCATTCACCTTCACCAACAAGTGTCTGCAAGTGAGTTTAAATGAGTTGCACCAGTTTGGGGAGAGCAGAGCTGACACTGCGCATGAAGCCCAAGACCAGCTAAACAGCAGCCCCAGTCCATGGGTGTCAGAGTCCAGCTCACTGCTGCAGATGCTGAGGGCTGAAGACCGCCAGTAAGTACTGCCAATCACTGGTGATCTGAACATCCCTGCTGTGGCTCCAGCCCCATGCTCTCTGCCCCCTCTTGCCCTCCATCCACCTCCCCTCTGTGTCACTCAAAAGAAGAGACTTACCAGCCCCAGCCGAGGCACTGGGGAGAGGAGAAAGGGCTGAGCTGGGCCCCGCTGCCTGCCAGGGGAGGGATCTGCCCTCTTTGAGCACCGACACAAGCATCTTCCCCATGGCAACAGCAGGTTTGGACATGTCCCTCATGCTGGAGCCAGCCTTTCCCAGACCCAGTTGCCAACCCCACAGGCATTGCCTTGAAGCTACAGGCAGAGATGCAGCTCTCTCCAGCCCCTCTGCCTCGCACAGGTCTTTGCAAAGGACTTTTTTCTTGCAGGGATGCCTGAATCCTTGGCACAGGCTTGGATAGCACATTTCTGTAATACAAGTGAATACTCCTGTGCACAGCCCTGAATTTGTCCCAAAGGCCTGTCTGGCCTTGGCAAGAGAGAAGCTCCTTAGCCTTGGGCAGTCCACTGCCTGCCTACTGCCTTGTGTCCCTGCCCTGTCCCTTTCAGCACATCATCTTTGCAGGGCTCCTCAGCCCTCCAGCTGGCTGAGGTGCCTGTGCTGGGACTGCTCTGCAGTGGGACTCTAAGGAGATGTAAATGGTCTCTTGAGGGAGTGAGAAGGGGAAATGAGAGCAAATCGTCTGTTAGACACAATTCTGACAGCCACTAAGGTCTGACCCTAACAGTTCCGCTTCCACTTCTACGTGGCTGCCCATGGGAGCAGGAGCCTTGACCACGGTCACAGAGCTGGCCAGGGCTGTGCCCAGCCCTCCAGTCCAGGACCCCATGGGGAGGGAGACAGGGGCCCCCGGGAGTGATTCAATGAAGACAGTGCTGGCACACTTATGTGCCTGTTTGAGGTTTCCCTGTCTGGGTGCATGCTTTTGGCTGTGGTGTACTTCCCACAAGCCTCTGTGTCTTGCTGTGCAGAGGTGCCTCACATGAGCTCCCCTGCAGAGAGGAGCAATGCAGCTGTAAGGTCAGAACAGGGAAGCCTCAGCCTGAGGTCTCAAATGCAGCTGCCAAAGCTTCTTCCCTGCAAGGAGCACCAGGGAGGTGAGCTGGCACCCGTGGACATCTTGCCTCACTCAGAGGGGCACACACATGAGCCAGAGCAAGTGCTGAGCACCAGCCCTGCACAGCATCCCCCATTGCTCCTGCCAGATTGCTCTATGATCTCCTGGGCCAAGAGCTGTCAGATGTGACTTTGCTGCTGAGCAGGACAGAAGGGTAATCCTCGTCTTGTGACTTCTGCTGCAGGAGCCCAGCTGGATAACTGCCTTCATCTCTCAGCCCAGCGTCCCTGGAGGATGCCCTCCCTTCCAGCACACAGGGTACTGCAGCATCACCAGGGGTAGGAGACACTGGGGAGTGCCTGGCTCCTGCTGTGACAGGCTCTCATCCTCAGGAGGGACAGATGGCCAAATGCTGGGGCTAGCTCCTAGTGCTCTGTACTGGGCCTGCAGTCATTTTTCCATCCTTAAAAGAACCTTGAAACGGGGTGCTCCGGCAGACAGGAGGTGTTAGTGCTAACAGACAGCCCTGCCTGCTCCTTGGGTTTGCTAATCTAGTAGCCCAGTGTTGCAGGTTGCCTCCTGGAGATTTATAAGGGATGCATATACCAAAACAGGGCATGGATTGGCA